GGGGGGGGGGGAGCCGGGGGCATGGATGGATGGATGGCACAGTAAGGAAGATTTATTTATCGGGGAACGGAGCGTGTGCCTACCGTGGTGACATCTCTGACGTAGTGATGCGGGCCGTCGACCTCAATCGCATAGTGCTCATAACCCGGCTGCAGCACACCACAAGTGCGGTGAGGCACATGACATGTGCCGTTAGTAACTTATAACTTACCTTTTTGAGTTGTATGTCGATGGAGATGCCGTCTTGAGTGACGACCTCGTTGTCATGCGGCACGCCCAGCACCTCCCCCAGGATGCGCGACATGTCGGTATGCAGACCTGACGACGTGATCTCATCGGTGTTCTCCATCAGCGCCCCACGCCACCGCGCCATCGCCCTCGCGCCACCGCCGCCACTGGCAGCCACATACGGTGACGACGACAAAGATAACGCCGACACATCCTCGCACCCGCCAACATCCTCCCCTTCGGTTGAGCTCCCATCCTCCCCCTCTCTGTCTGCGTCGCCCTCGTCGGTTTTGCCGTCTTCTTCTTCTTCTTCCTCTTCTTCGTTGGTCTCCTCTTCGAGCTCCTCCCACGCCTCCTCGAGAGCCAACCGAGGCGATGCTGGCGGGGCAGTGGTAGGCTGCTGTGGGGTGGTATCAGTGTCAGTGGCGGGCTGCCTGGGGCGGGGGGGTGGGGGCATGGGGGCAGCAAGGGATGGGAGGGCGTAGGGGGCGATCTGGCCCGCCGCACCTGTCTCCATCTCCCATGCCAGACGCGCCTGAAACATTCACAACCATACACAGACGCATCGCATGCAGCGAGGGAGGGAGCGGTTCGTTGTGTGTGTGGGGTGTAAGGAAGGCAGCTGACCTGTTGCAGCCGTGCAGCCGAGATCTGGTATCGTTTGGGCAGCGGCTCAGCGGCGTTGAAGCGGTTGGTGAGGGCGGCGCAGTGGGAGAAGATCCGCTGGAAGAAGTCGGGGCGGAACACGTGGCCGATGGCCAGCGCACGGACGATGATCGACGCAGCAGCGAAATCCAGATCAAGAGACCGACTCGCTGCAGACATTCATAGTGAAGAACAGCCATCGATCCATTCGCCATTCGCCCAAGTAAGTACTCACCTGCTGTCTGTGCGATGAAGTGAAGGCATTTCCTCTCTGCCTGGCCCGTCGGACACTTGGCGAGTGCCTGGGCCAGCCGACACAGAACCGACGCCGGCAGGCTGACCTCACCAGCAGTAGCGCGCCGCTCCGTGAGGGCAGTTGCGAGCCGCTGCACGATTGCAGGGTGGTACGCCCGCGCTCTCGTGAGTTCGATGAAGGCGTAGATGACGCTGGTGAGGTCTGGGGATGTGTCTGCGAGGACGGCGACCCGCTCGCAGAGTGCCTTCCAGATGGGAAGGTGCCGGTCGTTGGTGGTGTCGATGCCCACGGATGTGAGCGACTTGACCAGCCAATCCACATCAGCAGCATCCAGCCTTCACACGCACACACACACATCCAGCCATTGCTCTTCCCTTGACCCATTTGTGTTTTTGCTCTCTCACTGACCTGTCGACCCACTGCGGCGTGGTGAGCACCTCGGCCACCCGCACCAGGGTCCCTCTGACGGCCGGGGGCATCGAGTGTGCCTGGGCCCTCCGCAGCACCCCCGTCACGATGTACGCCACATCCACCATCGCCTTCGGGCTGCCCAAGGGCAGCGTCAGCGGCACATCGGCCGATGCACCCGCGTCACTCCGAAGGGGCGGCGTGGTCGAAAGAGATTGGGGTTGGGTGGGGGCAGGCGAGTCTGCGTCGATGGGTACGGCAGGGATGGCCGTCTCGGCGCTGGACGACATTGGGTCGACAACCAGGTCGAGGTACGCCTTGCGGAGCAGAGAATCACAAAACACCTGATGGATGGATGGATGGAGCACAACAAAGAGAGAGAGAGGGAGGCCAAAATGACCATGCATAACATGTGTGTAAAGTGAAGATGGAGGGGTACTGCACCGACCGTTGCGTAGTGGTAGGGGAGGGTCGTCTGCCTGATGAGCACTCTGAAGGCCCCCGACACTCCCGTGTTCGGGTCCATCCCCACAATGGAATCCCCGCCACCACTCCCACAACCCACACCACTTGCGTCAGAGTCCCGTTCGCTGGCCCACCGTGATAGCTCACACAGGCGGTCCACCACGTGGTCGAGGAAGATGCGCGATCTCCTGTCCACCTGCAGCCGCGGGAAGGACTCCACACCGGCACCCGTGAAGTACCGGACCCCAAGGGCTGTCAGACACACGCCCAGAGACAAACAGAGAGAGAGAATGTGACGGCCTCTCTCTCTCTCTCTCTCTGCGTGCGGTTCGGTTCGACCACTGACTGACCCCATCTTTCTCTTCGGTATCGCCTGCCGTCCATGCCGATGTAGCGCGTCAGCACCATGCCCATCCGCATCGGGCTCTCTGACAGCACCGACCGCTTCAACGCCGTCTCCCACGTCCCATCCGTCACGCCAGGGAGGTGCCCGATCGACCACACCAGACTCGCCAAAGACAGGTGGTCGAGCTCTTCCGGCTGGTACGCCACCGTGCACAGCAGCCGATCCAGCACGGCGGCGTAGAAGCGGCTCCAATGCGGCTCGAGGGAGGGGAAGGGCACCCACTGCGGCGCCACACCATCTGCAGGGGGATAGGCCTCGTGCAAGAGGGTGACGGCGAAGCCGAGAGACGACACTTCCTTCGGCCGCATCGTCGACAGATCCGATCGCACTAGACCCTCCAGCAGCGTTGCAATGACGCAGTCCAGCAAGCGGTCCAGCCATGGGCGGCTCCCGGTCCCATCCCCCTCCTCCCTGTCCCTCTCCATGTGAGCCGCGGCCTCGCTGTCGACAGCCGCCAGACCCCTGTGCACAGTCTCCCACAGCCGGTCGGCGTCCTCTTCCTCCCTGGTGGCGCTGCCATGGCTCCGCTCGTCCACAGTGGGAGGCGCCTGCTCGTCCAGCTGCCGCTCGCGACAAATCAGACACAGCTCCGACAGCACACGGATGGCGACGGACCTCCATCGGCCGTCGCGGTCAGTCGGGCTGCCCTCGGCTCCCCACCTGCTGCTGCATGAGAGCGTCTCGGTGGCCAGGGCGGCGATGAGCTCTTCCGGCACATGTCCGAAGACCTTGTGCGAGCGGCTGGCGATCTGCACCAGGTCGACCAGCCGCTGGTTGCGGGAGTCCGCGCTGCACACTGGCGTGTGTGTCCGGGTGGTGGCCATGGCCACACAGCAGGTCCGCAGGCGCGCGACGACCTTGTCCAGGAGGACTCGATTGGGAGGGAAGGTCCGTGTGGCTGTGAGGAGGTCGCACGTCTCCACCAGCACTGCGATGTCCCTCAGCTGCAGCTCCTGGACGCGGTCTGGCGCACCGTCGACATGGCCTTGTCGTGGCTTGAGTAGCTGGTGGAAGACGCGGATTGCGTCGGCCATCTCGATGGGGGAGGGCATGTCGATGGGCGACCGCAGCGTCTGGTGGCTGTCCGCCCTGCAGACGTCCATTCCATGCACACACATGAACATTGCTGCCTACTTGTCGGTCGGTCTGTGTGCGTGTGAGCGTACTGCAGCGGCTGCAGCTGCACATATAGCCTGGCGAGTGTCCAAAAGAGTCTCACGAGCGACGGGCCGCTGTCATTGTCAAGATGAGACACCGCCGAGCTGAGGAACGGCGCGATGGCGTCACGGGGGACCACCGGCATCGACGCGAATGCCCAAAGCACCAGCCGAGCGGCCTGGAGGACAGCAGAGAGACAGCGCATCGCATCAATCACATGGGAGGGAGCAGTTCCACCAAGGCCCGACAATCGTACCCTTCGGGCAGGTGCTTCGAGGACTGGGTGGTCGGTTGCGAGGTTTCTCAGGTGCTCTGCTGCCGTGATGAGCCGCTGCAGTATCTGCATCACGCGACCCCGCGCAGTGAACAGCCGCAGCGCCTGAGTCAGACTCGCCTCGTCCAACAACGGCAGACGCGACGCCACAAACTACACACAGATACACACACCTGATTTCATCCAGCCATCCCCCGCTATGTCTTCTCTTCTCGTCTCTGCTCTCACGTCAGCGAGATTCTCCAGCAGAGGTCTCTCCACCGCCTCGGGCAGCGGCGGCAGACTGGCCATCTCCACCAGAGGGTTGGCAAGCGTCGCAGAGTAGACCCCCGCGGCCTCCTCGTTACCCAGCTCCTCACCAACGAGGTCCCACGACCATTGACGACCCTCATTCTCAACATCGCTCTCACCATCGGCTACAGCAGCAGCAGAAAGCGCCTTGGGTGAGGGGGCGGGGCGGGTGAGCAGCCGTTGGAAGGTGTCGGCCAGCTGCAGGACGGCCGCGTGGAGGAGGGGGTGGTCTGACAGACCGAGCGATCGGAGGCTTCTGAGGATCATGTTGATGTGCCGAATGGATGCACTCGCGGGCAGCGACTCGAACAGGAACAGCAGTCTGAGAGTGACGGCGTCCAGGAGGGCTGCGGGGGCCCACTGGAGATCCCCCATCGCCATCAGGATCACTGTGCACGCCTGCACACAGACAGACAGACAGACAGACAAGTCACACACAGATCCATCGACCACAAAAGATACATGACCTCCCCCTTCTTTCTTCCCGCCCCGCCCCGCCACCCACTCGTACATCAGTGGTGGCCGTCGTGATGAGGTCGAGAATCCTGGCCTCGATGGCGGCAAGTAAGTCCTCATGGCGGTACCCCAGCTGGCCCATCGCCCACAGCAGCGACCGCGCCATGGACAGAGGCATCCGACGGGGCACATCGAGGGAGAGGAGGGCTTCGCTGAGGGCATCCAGCAGCCCTGGTGGGTTCCACCTCAGCGCCCCTGCCGCCCAGAAGACCTGGTCGAGCCCTCGTGGGCCAAACGCATTGCGATGAAGACACTCGGCAATCAGGGGAGACAGCCGCTGCCCAGTCCAGTCCACACACGAAAGGCAAATCGATGGAAACACATGGGTTAGCATGGCATGGCGCGTCTTCTCACCTTGAGGATCAGCGGGTCTTTCCACTCCAGCCGTGCGATCGCCCACATGACGTTGGCAAGCCCCTGTGCTGAGATCGACTGGGAATCGAACGAGGTGAAGCGGTCCAGCAGGCGATCGACAAGCTCCGGCGCTCTCCGCCAGTTCAGGGCCCCGAGGCCGAAGAGGATGTTGGCCACACCCTGGGGAGTCTGGTCGGCAAGCGTGACGTTCACCAGACCAGTGATGGCCTCCAGCAGGGTCTCATTGACGACGCCCACCCTCCCCATAGCCCACACGACGTTGGCCACAGCCTGTGCGTTGGGTCGCTCCTCCCGACTTGCCATCGATATGCAGTCCTCCAGCAGGTAGCCATAAGACAGCCCCTGCAGCTCGCCCATGGCCTGTCGTCTTTCAGCAGCCTCTCTCCCCTCCTTGCGGACGCCATTCGCCAACACACGAGGGAAGACCAGCAGCCCTTGATCGTCCTCAAGCACACCACCCGCCGTGGCTGTGGTCGTCTTGTTCTCGGCTGGCGGCTCGTCGTTGTCGAGCCGAGTGCGGGTGCTGAGTGCGTCCCACCACCCGGCCTTGGTGAGCCCCCAGATGGCGGATGCCATGGCAATGGTGCTGCTGTACCTCAGCTTGTCGACAGCGAGCATGACGAGATCCAGGAAGCGAGGGTCGCTGTGCAGGGCATCCGGGGAATGAGCAGGGTCCTCTGGAGCATGCTTGCCCAGCAGGTTGAGGACCGCTGCGATGTTGAAGCCGTCCAGGTGAGCAATCATGCTGCCAGTGGTGTCAGTGGTGTGGTTGACCAGACGCCCCCTGAGCGACTCAGGCAGCCGATCGGAGACGTATGCAAAGAAGGGGCCGTCGGGCCGCTCGTCCGCTGCTGCTGTTGGGTCGACAGAGAAGCTCTCACAGGCGTGGAGCAGCTGCTTGGGCGAGTCGAAGCCAGCGTTGAGACGAACCCTGAATTCCATGTTGGCCTGCCGATAGGGGTTGTGGAGGTCCTCCAGCATCTGCGCCAGCTTGGCCCGTCCGTCACCAGCACCGCCCCTCGCGCGCAACGCCGCAATGGTGCCCGAGAGATCGACCTTACGGAGGCCATCCGTCGCCCCGGGTGACGACAGCCGGGCGCAGAGCTCCCTCTCTGCCTCCTGAAAGAACCTCAGCAGCGATCGGCTGACGTGGCTGCTGCTGCTGCTGCTCCTGGGAGATGAGGCGTCAAGGGGGTGGTGCTGCCGGTAGTAATCACTATAGGGCCCGCCGTGTGAAAGGTACCACACAGTAGTGATCATGGCGTCGAGCCCCTGCGGCAGCACAGTCGACAGGTGGGCCTCCAGCCCCGCCGTCAGCGCCACCATCATGCCCTCAATCGCCTCGGGTGGCCGGGCGTCTGTCCTGCCACCCTCGAGCGTCTCCACCATCTTGCGGAAGCCCGTCAGAAACATGAAGAGTTGCGGCTTGGACCATTGAGCTAGGTCCGTGTGCTGGCCACTGATGGCGGTGGCAGCGGCTGTGAGGAGGGGCATGGAGGGGTGGTGGAGCTTGGAGAGGCTCTCGAGCGAGTGGGCCAGGTACGCAGCCGTGTTCCTGGTCGGAGGCTGCTGAAGGAACTCCATCAGGGAAGACGCAAACATCTGACAGAGAAAGACAACCGACAGCCCGATGCGATGAAGGCGGCTGGTTCGTTGCTTTCGTCCTGACTGATGCCCTCACTTCACTTACGGGCAAAAACTCATCGGCTAGCCTCAGGTCAGTGGGCAGCTGGCCATCCACAGCCGCCAGCTTGGCCAGTGCGGCAATCATGACGGCCTTGCCCTGCTCCCCCAGCCGCCCGAATACCCGCACCGACCGGTCCATCACGACATTCAGCATCCGTCTGTCCGTCATGCCCCTCTCCCCTATCGCCCACCACAGGAAGCCCACATCCGAGGGCGTCAGCCGAGGCGCCGACACGGCAATCGCCTCCCCATAGCGACGCAGGTCCTGGTCCGACAGCGGCACATCCAGCTTGGTGAGTGACCAGAGGCAGGTTGCCAGAGACCGGCCGTCCAGCCCGTCGGGGCTGCTGACGATCTGCTCCACCATCCTCATGAAAAAGGGCTGCGCTCGAAGCCACGCGCGTCGACGTGGCTGCGTCACCTTGGTCAGTACAATCATCGCATAGCTGCACGTCCAGGCGTCGAGGCGTGAGCCGGGCTGCTGCAGTGCGAGCAGGACGTCCTCGGGATCTCTCGCCTGCCGAATGCGGTCCTTGACGCTTCTTTGGTCGCTCCCCATAAGAGTGGGGACTGCGGCCTTCTTGGGGCGGCCGCCTCGCCGAGCAGTGGAAGGGGCACGGTTGGCCGCCATCTGGGTAGTGCATCCTGACCCTCTGCGACGACGAACCATCCTGCGTCGGGCGAGAGGCGTGATAGTGGTGGGATCTGTCGCTGCATGGCGCCTGGGTGCGATGAAAGAGGCGGAAGGGTCGATGGCCTTGCTTCGTTGCATCATAGAGTGAGCGAGTTGGATGAGCAGTAGCAGTGCGGTGATGAGGCAGAGATGTGGGAGGCTGAACGAGGGCGAAAGGGAGGGCATCGAAGTCGAGGCGTGAGGCATCAGAGATTTGCTGCCGCATTTTCACCAATGCGCTTCATATGGCATCATTCAATGCGATAAGACCTCATGCCGGCAAACTCCTCTTCGTTGTTCTTCCTTTCGGACATCGGCCGCGATCTGTCAAGCGATCCCATTCATCGTTCGTTCATTCGTTCTGCCTCGCGCCGTTTGTCTCTTTCCGGCTGTGCAAGCTGCTTATTGTCGCTTCAGACACATCCTGGCAAAGCGTGCAGGTCTGATCCTGCAGATCACATGTAGATCTCTCCTGCAGGGAGCGTAGCATGCTTCTGCTCGTCGTGGTCTGCTTCACATCGATGGTCGTCCTGTCTGCCGCCCACCAGCTGGCCTTCACATCACTAGTGGCTCTGCGAGGACGGCACGGACCTCATCCACACGACAATAGGCAGCGAAGGCGGCACTTATCTCACCGTGATGCACTGCAACCGAGGCTGAGTGCTGCACTCAAGGAGCCGCCCGCCCGGCCAGTGGCATCGCGGCCGCGCGTCGATACGACTGAAGGTGGTGGTGGTAGGAGGCCGTTCGATGGTGTTAGGTTGGAGTGGCTGCCGCTGGCCGAGGCGCGTAAGGTGCTGCTGCAGAGCAACGAGGGCGTCTCGCTGCGAGATCTGAGCCGCATCTCCGTCACGCGGTTGAAAGGCATCTCGAGCAAGCGACAGATGGTGCTGGCTGAGGCAAACGTGCACTCCATCTCGGATTTGCTGCTTTTCTTCCCAAGAAGATACGTCGACCGAGAGGTGAGCTGGGCTGGGCGTGTGTGTGTGGTCATTCACTCACTCGTTGATTCAATCAGGATGTGTCTTCCATCAAGACCCTGCTGCCCAGCCGCCGTCGCCCGTCAACCCCCAAGGAGCGTGCGGCCGACGACGCTGCTCTCGAGAGGGAGGTGACTGTGTGTGGGGAGATCGCGAGCATGTCGCACTTCAAGGCCAGGACGGGCACGCGGATCACCAAGGTGGTGGTCAAGGACGAGGCGGGTGGGCGGCTGTCCGCTGTGTGGTTCAACCAGGAGTTCAGGGCCGCACAGCTCAGGAAGGGCATGGTCGTCGCACTCGGCGGGAAGGTACATGATGGATGGATGGATGGATGGAGGGATGGATGGATGGATGCTGCTTTGTCGTTCTTTGGTGTCAGGTTGAGCGCCGTAAGGGCGGTCTGGAGATGCGGACGCCCGACGTGCAGGTCATTTTCGACCCCTTCAACGCACCCCCGCCTTCATCAGACCCCAGCGCACCACCCCCAGTGCCCCCCGGCACCACCATCCAGGCGCTTAGCGCCGCTATCAACCAGCCGTCCGACGACAATGACGACGCCTCACCAGCGACAGGCTTCACGGGGCGAGTGGTGCCGCTGTATGGTGGTGTGGGTGGCATCCCGCCCAAGATACTGCTGAGTGTGATGCAGCAGGCGCTGGAAGCCTTCCCTGTGGTGCGTGAGGCACTGCCACAACGACTCATCGAGGAAAGGAAGCTCATTGGTAGGTTAGGTTCCATAGGGCTGGCTGGATCCGTGTGTGTGTGCATCAGGTGTGTGTTTGTTATCCCTGTTGATTGATTCAGGTCGCGGCGAGGCCGTCCGTCGTCTCCATTTTCCACAGTCAGTAGAGGAGGTGCCAGAGGCGAGACGTCGGTTGTACTACGACTCTCTTTTGCGCATGCAGCTCGCCGGTAGGTGAAGTGACATCCAGCCAGCCATCCATCCATCCACCTAGTTGATTATCGATCATGTGTGCCTGTTGGTATGTATCTGTGTGTTTATGTGCGGTCTTCTTTCAGTGCTGCATCGTCGCGAGGCCATCAGCCGCCGGTGGCCTGGAGTGGCCAACACGGGAGGGGACGGCAGCATGATGCGGCGGTTCCTGGAGAGTCTGCCCTTCAACCTCACCAACGCACAGCGGCGGGTACTCGATGAGGTCACCACCGACATGGCCGCCGACCACCCCATGCACAGACTCCTGCAGGTCAGGAGGGGGAGAAGATGCACGTCTGATGTCCGTCCGCACATGTGAGTGTCTGTCTGGTGTGTGTCTGTCAGGGTGACGTCGGTGCGGGCAAGACAGTGGTGGCCGTGGGTGCGCTGCTGCAGGCAGTGGGGTCGGGGCGGCAGGGCGCGGTGCTCGCGCCGACCGAGAACCTTGCAGGACAGCACTACCTCACGTAAGCAAGCCATAGGTACAGACATGCAGATGATCTGTTAACACACCAACACGTGGCCGGCTGCTGCTTTGTGTTGGTCGTCCGTCAATCAGGTTGCGCCGTCTGTGCGCTCCGATGGGTATTCGCATCGAGCTGCTGACGTCAGACTCGCCGGACCGACAGGACACCATCGAGGGGCTCAAGGTGAGACGCGCAGACAGACAGACAGACAGACAAACAGACCAGCTGGACGTCGGGATGTGTCCTCCCTCAATGGACGTCTGGATGCGTCAGACTGGCCTGGTGGACATTGTGGTGGGCACACACGCTCTGCTGGAGGACACTGTCCACTACTACAAGCTGGGCCTGGTGGTTGTCGACGAACAACACAGGTGGGTGCGGTGCACACCAAAACCTCCTGCCCATCCCATCCACACACACATGGGGGTCACATACATATTGATTGATTCAGGTTCGGTGTGAATCAGCGAGTGGTACTGCGTGTGAAGGGTCAGCTGGCGGGCGGCTGCACTCCTGATGTGCTGCTGATGACGGCCACGCCCATCCCCCGCACACAGGTCATGACGCAGTACGGCGACCTGCTCGAATCACGACTCGACGAAATGCCACCTGGTGATAAACAAAACAAGCAGGCAGGCAGGCAGGCCCCTTTGCACAGCGTCGTCTCCGACATTCATTCACTCTGTTGTGTGTGCAGGTCGCCGTGAGGTGGCGACAGAGGTGATAGACAAGGCGGACAACCACACGATGGCGTCGGTTTACGAGCGGCTGCGGCAAGAGGTATCAGAGGGGCGGCAGGGCTACTGGGTCTGCCCCCTCGTCAACGTCAGCGAACGAATCGAGGTACGGCACGGCGGGTGGTTGATAGGAATGTGTCTATCCTACTGCAAGTGAGTGACATCGTTGCCTCTTTGTCCAGGCGCGAGCAGCGATTGAGGAGCACGCCCGGCTGCAGCAGCTGCTGCCTGAGATCAGGTTCGGTCTCATGCACGGGCAGATGCGGCCGAGCCACAAGGAGGCCGTCATGGAAGAATTCCGGCAACGGTATAGAAACCAAGACTCACCCCTTGTGTGAATGGCCGGACTTCCCTCCCTCATGTGCCTAGGCGTGTGGACATCTTGGTGGCGACGACTGTGATTGAGGTGGGCATTGACATCCCGTCCGCATCCATCATGGTCGTCGACGACGCACACCGGTTCGGCCTCTGCCAGCTGCACCAGCTCAGGGGCCGCGTCGGACGATCCACCGACCCGGCATCCTGCCTCCTCCTCACCCAATTCACCGACCAAGACGGCGCCGAAAACGTAATAAGAGAAACAAACGGGCAAACGGACAGACAGACAGACCGACCATTTCATTCCGGTGGTGCTCTCTCCCTTCCATATGTATGCCATGCAGTTGACTGTCAAGGCCCGTCGTCGGTTTGCAGTCATGTGTGCGACGTACGACGGGTTTGTATTGGCGGAGGAGGACCTGACCATCCGGGGTGAGGGGACGGTCTTCGGTACGGCGCAGCACGGCGAGTCGGACCTGCGGCCACCGCCGGGCGTCGACCCGCCAGAGGAGAGGGAGCTGCTCCACATGGCCTATCAGGACGCACGGCGAATCATGGGCGGGGAGTTTGGGGTGGAGGGGCAGGAGGTGGTTGAAGAGGCGCGGGACCTCATCGACCGTCGCAAGGCCGACTGGCTGCTCAAAGCATGACATGACTGGGGGTGTGGGGTGTGGTGTGGGTGGCGGGGGGAGGGAGTGGGGCACTCACTGATTGAGCCGTGGGTGTGTAGCTTGCAGGACTTGTGTATGTGTGAGTGTGTGTAGGCGCGCAGGTGCAGTGGGTTTGTCCATCTGTTTATCTTGTGTGTGTGTAACGCTCGTTTGAGTCTGTCGGTGTTTGGGGCCGTTCTGGCCGGCCTTTTCTCTGTGCGTTCTGTCTGCATCCATCCGACGACCCACTCACTGAAATTTTATGGACGTGTCTATCCATCCACCGATGAGCTGTGTTCTGTATACACAGAAGGGCCCGAGAGCGTCGCTCTCACACCCTGCCGACCGATCTACTTCTCGCCCCGCCTCCCTCCTGCCACACACGACCAACAGCTAGCTGTACACTACCTTCCCGTCAGTCACCAAGGTATCTCACTCCCGTCATACGCAAAGAACCGCCCGTTCTGCTCCATACTCGCCTCATTCATCAGCTTCACCAGCATACTCGCAGACTTGTCTGCCGGGAAGAGCTGCTCTTCGGGCACGTTCTTGTGGTAGGGTCTCGAGAAGTCCGTGTCCACCGTCCCGGGATGCACCGAGAACACACACACATTCCGCTTGCCCAGCTCGACGCTCAGCGTCCTCGTCAGCTGGTTGAGGGCCGCCTTGGACATCCTGTAGCCGTACCAGCCGCCCAATCGGTTGTCGCTGATAGACCCGATGCGCGCCGAGATGTTGACAAGCCGCGGGGGACGATCTGCCGCACACACTCGCTGTGATCTGCACGGGCGGACACACACGGCAAGAGAGATCCATGGAGAGAGAGAGATGGATGATCAGGGCGAGCCTCCTACCGACCGACCTGCGGACGAGCAACGGGCTGAACCATTTCGCCACCAGGGCATGCCCCACACAATTGACGGCGAAGGTCCGCTGCAAGTCGGCCTGAGTCACTTTGCTGATCGACGTCTCGCCCCTGCCCGACGGATGCAGCATGCCCGACGCCACAATCACGAGATCCAGCCCCTCAGCACCAACAGACCCCTCCACCCACTGGCTGGCGGCCTCGATAGAGGCCTCGTCGGTTATGTCCAGATGCACCTGGTGAAGGCGCTTGTGCTCACCGCCACCATAACGGTCGAGTAGCTCTTGGAAGGCGGCCGAGGGCGGTCGGTTGTGGGAGGCGATGACCTCGCCATAGCCAGACCTCAGGAGCTCTTTGCAGATGGCAATGCCCAGCCCACCGGATCCTGCCTGCACAAACGCTGTGCCGCGAGGAGGAGGTCCAGTCGATGTCGAGGCTGCAAAAACACAGACACAGCAGAGAGAGGAACACGGCAAGGCTCGAGCGCGTGTGTGTTTGAGGCGCATGCACGGACCATCAGCTGATGAGAGCCGGCGGGTCACGCCAGCCATGAAGCGGGATCTTTCCATGGCGCTGCGGTGGGAGATGGTTGGCAGGAAGGCGCTGAGAGATGCTGCGGCTGTCTTGACTGACATCAGGGCAAGCAGAGGCACCAGCTGTCGAACAACTTGTCCCTCACAGATCATAGGATAGCGCCGGCAGACCCGGCAGCGTACCTCAAGGGAGAGGGGGAAAAGGAGGAGAGAAAAAAGAAGGAGGATTCCCTTCCAGGCGCCAAAGGGAGCTGCCCTCGAGGCCTTCCTGCCACCCCAACGCCCTTCTCCCCCGCCACACGAATGCGAGCTTTGGACGGATCGAGTGAGGATCGAATTAGCGATTTTCTCAGAGTTGGCAAATTCGTTTTGCGATTTTGTCTGCCAGACGTTGTGAGCACTCGTCCACACGCTGTTTGCCGAAGGAAACGGACGAGAAGCGCACATTTTGCCATTTTGGAGAGGAGTTAGGGCAGTGAAATTCCGTTTTTGCATCGCTTGCCGACAGGGGACTTGGCCGTCAGGCCACCTAGGGTGCTCCCTGAAACCGCTGCTGCTTGTTGATGCTGAGAAAGCTGTTCGGGGGAAGGTGTTCGCCGAACACGGCGCTCGCTTCGGCAGATCAGTGAAACAGCTCGAGAGAAACAGTGATGGCCGCTGACTGACATGCTGCAGCGCATGGGCGTGGCGTTCGGTGGCCGACGCCTTTCGCCGCACAGCACCATCTCTCACCTCGGCATACGGGCGACAACTCGAAACAAAAGCATGTTGATCCACGGGATCTGCGGGGCATCGGAGTGGGTGGAGGTGTAGTACCTACATGCATCAGAACCTGTGAGAGGTGAGAGAGAGCACACAACGACGGTCGTCAAGAATTCGGCTGCACCTCTGTCTATCTGTCTGCCTGTCTGTCTGTCTGTCTGGTGCATTGCAGTGTCTGCCTGCCCGGCGTAGATGGCTGCCCAGCTGCAGCGGTGTGTGGCCGAGGTGCGGCGGACAGCCGATGACTATCACCGCCGAGCACAAAGGATTAGCGACATCCAGCGCAGGGTGAGAATGTCACACAAGTACAAGAAGGGCCTCTCTGCAGCAGAGTGTCCTGTCCTGTGTGTCCAGTTGGAAGCGCACGCGGGCCTGCTCGGCAACGATAACCTTCTGTCGAGAGAGCAGCAAGAGGTGTGTTCAATTCTAAGGCACTCACGCCGCATCCCATCTATTTGTGCCTTTTGTGTGTCTTTGTGTGTACCTACCTTCAGCATCTGTGGGCCCAGTACCGCATCTGTGTCAGCGTCATGAAGGATATCCGCCGAGAGGACTCCCTGGCCGAGCAGGATGCCCTCATCGCTTTAGCTGAGGAGAAACTGCAGATCGTCGAACAGTTCCTGGCCAAACCGGTAGGTAGCTGCAACACAGCACCAGCCATCATTCTGAGTGAGGCTCGGTGAGTGTATGCGTGTGGGCGTGTGTCTGTGTGTGTCTGTCTTCAGGCCGTATTCCCTCCCCGTCTGATGGCGCTGCCCGACACGCTCATCTTCACCATCCTCTCCCCTCTGCTGGGCACCCGGACGATCATCGGCAGACTGTCGCCCACCCACCCCTCACTCCATTCCCTCGCCACCAACCCAGCCATGCACACCACCGTCCACTTCGACGGCTCGGAGCGACCAGGCACCGATACCGATCCTGACGAGCAAGAGCTGTCCGCCTGGCTGCCCCGGCTCAGCAAGGCGAAGAACGCCTTCGTGCGGTGGCCTGTTTACGAGTGGGCAGCCAAGATGGTGGAGGCGATGCGTGTGACGCTCGAGAGCCTGGATGTGGACTCGTACTCTATCCCGGAGATTCCTGAGGACGACGGCCTCTGCTACTGCCCGCGGCAGGGCTGGCAGAAGGGCCAGGGGGCGCTAATCTTCCCCAAACTGACGAAGGGTGAATAGCGAAAAATTGTAGGAGAGTGGCTGATGCGCTATCGGACTCTGTTGTTGTTTTGTGCGTCCTTTGCCAGTCAAGGTGGGCGGCTGGTGGATCAGGGTGCCCTGCAAGCGTACCTGGGGGCTCACGTAAGCAGCACCACCGCTAAAGCACAGAGAGATAGAACGGCCATGCCACACGCATTTGGTTTGTTTGCAGAGCGGTACAAGACCTGCACATCAGGGACGAGACCTTTGATGGCGAAGATTGGCACGGGCGGCTCGCCGAGGCCCCGTTCGCTGCCTCATGGAAGCGGTGGTCGCCTGGGCCTCACCACATCACCCTCGAACACACCAGCCATGACCCTGACGCCCCGCCAAGCGAGCCGTGGGCCCTGCGGCATGTTGTGGCGAGCGAGATCCTGTCACCGTCCGTCAAGTACCTCCACGGCGTCAAGGTCGCGGGATCACCGATCCCCGGAGAGCCCTCGCCGCTCATCAGCCGGCCTCAAGTGGAGTCGCTGCATGCCACCGTCGTGGGCGAGAATGTCACAACATCCCACATAGAGGTGAGTGAGTGGATCAGGGGCGTAAAGCCACGTTCGTATCCGCTGATTGGTGTGTGCTCTGTAAGGAGCTGCATTGGATTCGGAAGCACTGGACGGCTCCCGCTCCCGCCGTCAACCTGCACACTACCGGCGATCTCACATTCTCTACCGCCGTTCTCGCGGAGCCCGCCCTGCTGGCCGATATGGCCATACTCGCCCCCTCCCTCGCTGCCCTCGCATCAGTTGTGACCAGGTCGGCAAGGAGCAGGAAATGGATGGATGGACGGATGGATGGAACCACATGTCCCTGTTGTGCGTGTCTGCTTGTCTGTATCTGCATGTCCATGCCAGCGTCGACTTGGTCTTCGACTCGGCCTTGGTCGACACGTTAGAAGGGTACCGTGGCTTCTGCATCAACGTGTCCCTTCTCTTCTCATCGGCCGTTTTTGACCGTGCGACACGTTTGGTGGGGGTCGACACCCACATAGACGGACTCGTGTCGAAGCTGAGCCACGCCTTCCCCAGTGTGACCACGTTCCTCTTGCCGATGCAGGACACCACGGGGGAGTCCATGGCGTGGGCAATTGACGCGGTGGGGATGCTCAGGGCGCTGGAGACAATCGAGTTCACTTCGGGTGGCTCGGGGCGCTCGTCCACTTCCTCTGTGCCTGAGTGCGATAGCATAGGCCCGTGTCTGCACATGATGGGCGTTTTCTCGCCGTCGGTGTGCTCCCTCGCTTTTGAGGAGCAGACAGGCCAGTCAGACCAGAGAGAGGGGCTCAGAGAGCGCATTCGCCACATCACTCTGGAGGTCGACCTGTCGGATGATGTACACGGCGAGCCGTGGGTGTATTGTGGGGATGTGGCAGGTGCGTGTCTGGCCGCCATCCACAATTTTCCCTGTCTAGATCGAATCGTCCTCGAATGCCGTGAGATTGTGTGGCCGGAGGGAGACAGAGGCGGAAAGGAAGACAGCTCGTCGTATATCTTCGATGCGCTGCATACCACTCCGTGTTGGTACTTGCGATCGGTTGACGCGCTCGGTCGTGTCCGCAGCCGCCTTTTCTTCCTAGCGTTGCACGGGCTGGGTTGGGAGGCGATTGAGCTGCCCCCACTGGGGTACGACTGTCGTGTAGAGGTCCGCCGCATCGGGGCTGTCGATGACCCGACGCAGCGACGGATCACTGACTGCTTTCTCCCGGCAACACGCAGCGACTTGAGTCACATGTAGCTGCATTTGTGACCTGAGAGTGTCTCGTTTATCGGGGCTGTGTGTCTATGTATGTGTATATGCATGGATGTCTTTCTTGGGATCAGGTGCGATGAACACACTCACGTGCCCGTCTGAGTTCTTTTCCGTTCTCTTGTCTTCAGACCCCGCCCCCTCCCCGTCTGCTGGCGCTGCCCGACACGCTCATCTTCGGCCACCTGTCGCCTCTGCTGGGCACTCAGACGATCATCAGCAGACTGTCGCCCACCCACCCCTCACTCCACTCCCTCGCCACCAACCCAGCCATGCACACCACCGTCCACTTCGACGGCACCGAGCTCACCGCACCCACATAATCGCAGCTGGCCGTCTGGTAACCCCGGTTTAGCAAGACGACCAGGGCTGTCATGCTGTGCCCGGTGACCGAGTGGGCGGCAAAAAAAGGTGGAGGGGATGCGTGGGACACTGGAGAGCCTGGATGTGGACTCGTACTCTACGATGCCCTCTCCTTCGACTTCCCGCAGCAGGGATGGCGAGAAGGAGAAGGCGCCCTCATTTTTCCGAGACTCAAAACAGGTGAGTGGGATAAACTAAGCCCATCGTTGTGGCGATGCAGTCACGGACTTATGCCCGTATGTCATCTTGTTGCAGTGGATTAAGGCGGCACGCCATCGTACATGGGCCCTTACGTGAGCCACAAACACACATACACAAGGGAAGGGGCCAGCGAAGCGAACTGTCCGGCGGCCTCTGTGTCTGCACAGGTCGGTTCAAGAGATGCACATCGGCGACCCGAGACCGCTCCCTCTCTGTACCATGGCCGTTTTTCGTCATGAGGGAGAGTGCGCCTTCTGGAAGCGGTGGTCGCCTGGCCCCCTCACACTGTCCTTCAAGTTCAGCACTGGCGATGACGACTTGGATACCTGGAACATATGGAGTGTCGACTTCATCAACATGCTCTCCCCGTCTGTCAACAGCCTCAAGGGCATCGTCATCGACGGATACGCAGGAAATCCCAAACAGCACGACGACATTGTCAGCCGGCCCCTAGTGGAGGAGCTCGAGGCCACCATCTTCGGCGAGAGGGTCACGAAACGTATGATAGAGGTGAGTGGAGAGGAGCCGCCGACACACGTGCCTCTATTTGGTGTGTTGCATTTTTTTAGGAGCTGGAGTGGATTCGGACTCATTGGCTGGCTCCCGACGCCGCCATCCGCTGCCATGCCATCGATGAGAACCTCACATTCCCGTTCACCCTGCTGGACGATATCGTCCTTGCTGACATGGCCACACACGCCCCTTCCATCGCTGCCCTCGCCTCAGCTGCGACGAGCGTTCACTTCTTCACGCGAGGGCGGTCATCCATGAAGACCTTCTTATCCTTTCGTCCCGCAATCGTCTTTGAGCGCGCGGAGCGGCTGACAGTGATCGACGCTCTTGTGAGCGACGCCATGGTCCGCACCGTAGGGAGCCAGTCATATTTTGTCGGGCCTCGAAGAAGGGGCTCCCCATTTCATGTGCCTCACGGTGTGCTGTCCCAGATGAGCCATGCATTCCGTCGTGTGGCCACACTCGCCCTGCCGATGGGTGTGGCCACGACAGGGGAGTCTATGGCGTGGGCAGTGGATGCGGTGGGGATGCTCAGCCAGTTGCGTGCGATCGAGTTCATTCAGCTGCGCCAGGAGGAGCGCTGGGAAGGCTATTTGCCAAAGACCGTATTCTTCTCGGATGACTCCGGTCCTTCGTTCACTTCCTCTGTGCCTGAGTGCGATAGCGTAGGTCCGTGTCTGCACATCCAGGGCGTTTTCTCGCCGTCGTTGTGCTCCATCGACTTTGTGGAGCAGACAGGCCAGTCAGACCAGATAGAGGGGCTCAGAGAGCGCATCAGACAGATCACTCTGGAGGTCGACCTGTCATACGATGTACACGGCAAGCCGTGGGTGTATTGTGGGGATGTGGCAGGTGCGTGTCTGGCCGCCATCCACAATTTTCCCTGTCTAGATCGAATCGTCCTCGAATGCCGTGTGGGCAGTGGGGAGGGATATGGGTGGGGTGAGCGGGAGGAAGAGAGCTCGTTGTATGTGTTCGAGAGGCTGCAAACGGTTCAGTGTCGGTACACGGTGTCGGCTGGCCCCCTCAACGGCTGGCCTGACATCCGAGGCCAGCTTTTCTTCCTAGCGTTGCACGAGCTGGGTTGGGAGGCGGTTGAGCTGCCCCGACTGGGGTATGACTGTCGCGTAGAGGTCCGCCGCATCGGGGCTGTCAATGACCCGATGCAGCGGAAGATCACTGACTACTTCTTTCCATCCATATCCACATCCACACGCACACATGGAGAGGGAAGCTCTGCGTGAAGCCTGTATGTATTTGTGGCCTGCATGTGGTGGTCGGTGCCGGCATTTTTCCCGGTTTTGTTCTGTCTGGTATGATAATCGCGTGCCATCACCTTCAGTGCTTGTGCTCGGTCCGGTCACAGTGACACACAGCGGTCAAGATGAACACACACACACACATGGATAAAGACGTGCACACGTCTGTACACTCGTCGGCCGCTCTGCTCCACCCTGCCTTGCCTTGCCTTGCCTTGCCTTGCCTTGCGATCAGACACACCCGTGCACTCATCCACACACGTGCACCCACCCATACAGATGGTACACATGTTCATTCCTGAGTGCGCCGGGCCTTGTGGGCATCGCCCGTGTCGCGGCTCCTCTCCATCTCCCTCTCCCTCTCGCGGCTGCGGGATCGGGATCGGGATCGCTTGCGGCGCTGGTGCTGGTGCACGCCCTCACACAAATCCATCAGATCCAACTGGAGAGAAGGCAGACAGACAACAGAGATAGAGACATGCATGGGGTGGAGTAAAGAGTGTCGGGCGGTCTGAGTGACCAGGTCGTTGTACGATCCCCGGCTGCTGGCGTTCTCTGCGCGCAAGTGGCGGTCGAGCGACAGGGAGACGGCGAATGACTGGTCCATCTGGTCGGCCAGCCAACTGCACACACACAGGCAGGCAGGCAGGCAGGCACGCTGTTGGTGTGTTTGTTTGTGGTGACATATGCTTGTTTTTGTGCTGGCTGCACGTATACACACGTACATGCGGGATGCTGCTGTGCTGAGGAGGTTCTCCAGCTGCCGCATCGCCCTCTCCATCAGCACACGCGACGCCCCACCAGGCACCGGCAGCGAAAACATCTGAACAAACACCAAGACAAGACACAGAACCGTGCTGCTGTCTTGTGTCGTATTGTGTTGTGTTGTGTGTGGTTTGACGACGCCCACCCCCCTCTTCCGCTCGTTCTTCTCGCCATCTGCGCGCATGGATGAGGTCACCAACACAGCCCACTTGACGTCGGGCGACACACGACTCTTCAACCTGCACCATCCATCACGCATCGAAACATCGCAACACACATTGAACAGACAGTGGACCTTTCTGCGCAGTGCATGTCTCTTTCTTCTCTTCTGGCTGCCTCATTACTTGCTTATGCATGACTTGGAGTCGGTATGGGTATCCCAGCTGCGGAGGATCCCCAGCCCGCAGAGGGAGGTTGCCGCGACAGCGCCACTGCATCCCGCCAGTAATGTGACATAACACACACGTATCGAGCAGTGTGGTTCGCTCTTATTGCTGTTAGTTACCTTTATGTCAGGGTATTGTGATCTGAAGAGGTGTTTGAGTACTTCGCAGTGCAGCAGCCGCATGGCCAGCGGCTCCTGCGCCCGCGACACCGAATAGGACGGGGATGACCGCCGCATCCACGCTGACAGCACACACAGGCATCCATCCATCCGACCATCCATCCATCCATCTATCCACCGCTCCCTCACACATACATGTCTCACACTCACTCTCGTCCTCTTGCTCGGCGTAGTCGTCATTATCCCACCATTGCTGCCCACGGCCACTGCCCCCCCGCTCCCTCGACCCAGCCCTGCCCCCCTCGCCCTCCTTCTCTGCAGCCCTGACGTCCGACTCATTGCGTGACACCTGCGACGCCGGCTGGAGCGGTGAGGCCGGAGCGTGTGGCGGGCGTGGCTCGTGCAGGATGAGCGGCATTGCCTTGGGTTGTGTGGCAGGAGGGGTGAGGCCGGGGGGCGGCATGTAGGCCAGATACGAACTCATACTCACACTCATACTCACACACGAGGCACCTGTCCAGACCAGAGAGGGGGAGAAAGGAGAGGCACGGCTTTACTACTGCGCACAGGGGCTGACTCCTTACTGCTTGTTCTCACCACTGTCGTGTCGCAAATCCTCTTGCTTGACGGCGACATAGCCGCCGTCATGGTGGCCGTGGTGCTGCTGCACGTGAGCCGATGGATCGGGC